AGTCTGCCGAAAAACGCGCTGAATCCAGCTTTCCACTCGGAGCCGCTCGAGGTTATGGTAGCATACAGTCACTTGGGGGCAAAAAGGCCGCTTCCAAGAGAAGGGTAGCAAGTCGATGCCTATCTAGTTTTCTTCTCAAAATATATCTCGTTGTGATTGGCAAAATAAGGGTACTGTAATTATGTAATTAATATATTGTTATTCAGTTGGTTTATAATTATTTTTCTCGTACTCACAAGCAAACCGTTAACACATTGACGACCATGCAGATTTTTAGTTGTCTGCCATTTAGGACCAAAGCTTTTTAACGGACCAGCCCACTTTATCAACTGTAATTACGCATACTGCCATCTACTGTACGCCTACAGTAAATTTGAAAGGCTGACAGAAAAGGTAGAAGTCATCCCTAGATCCCTTTGCAAAAGAAAGCTCATGGAGTGAGTTTATTTCAAGATATTAGTCAATTACCAAAATTCAAGCCTTGACACACATGGTGTGTCAAGCGGTCCCACGCGGTGGTCATTGCTTAACACACCATGTGTGTCAAGCTGTCGTCAATGTGTTAAAATTTCTGGGAGAATGCGCTTTAGCCACTCCTTCAGCCAAATCTTTTCTTCGGAGATCTTCGATACTCACAGTGTAAAAGTTTGTGCACTCTAAGTCCGGGTTCATACATAGGTGGTACAAATGCTTTATTTATGACATTTGTTCACTCACTAATGCTTTAAAGTACTCATTATCAATTTATTTACCAATTGTACTTGATAATATTCCTTTTTCTGCACAGCATACGTCCAAGACAGAGATTTCATGCAGAAAGGGACATTTTCCTGGAACAAACATTCATGGAAAAGAGTGAGGGATTAGTTTTTTTTATTGAGCATCAAGCTATTGCTGCAACTTTTTTGTGCGCGCTTGACGTTCGTGTTTCCATAATTGACGCATGTTGTGCAAATGAACATGTGCATCATAAGCGGAAGGGACTTTGACTTACATACAACAATTAAAAAGAGCAGTCAAAGAATGAAATCAAGAATGACGTTATTAAAGGTTACGCTAAGAACGAGTGGTGTTTGGAGTTTGAGTGATTGTATGTGCGTGATTGCGGAAACAGATAATAAATCTGCCTACTGATACAGGGTAAAAACACGGAGCAGCATGATTTCTGTACGGAATTGGCGAACATGTCAGAAATAGAAACGCTGCATGTTAGTTCCCTTAGGAGCTGGAAGTAGGTCGGTAAAGAGTGACACAACTTGCAGATACTTTATATTGCGGTAGAAGTATGATATCGGCCACCAAATCCATAATGCAGTGCGGCTTCATCTCAATAAATGCGCATTCGCGAAAATTATGTCAAATAACTCTTTTATGCAAAGCTCCAGCAAATTCTGGGGCTTTGGCTTCTTACAGTACCCCCACCATAACTCGCAAGGACCCAGCGTTTCTGTAATGTGCCTTTCCCATGCAGAATAATTTGCTGTTCTGTGTTTCAGTAAACTCAAGGTTCTAATAGTTTTGTTTATGCACTGTGTGGAATTTTACGTGGATGTTTTAACACACCATACTTGATCCGGTTAATCCAAGTCATCCACTTCGCTATTGGTTAAATCAGTGAACTGACCAATAGCGAAGTGGTTGAAGTGGATCAAGCGGATGAAGTGACATCCGCTTCGCTATTGGTCAATTCACTATGAGGATAGAGGACATTAGGTCGCCGAAAGTGGAGGTCCCGCGCGGGCATTTGCAACAAATCACGGCCGTCACCATTACTGCCTCAAGCTAGCTGTCCGCGGGGGTGAAGCCTATCGGCAACCTAATGTCCTCCACCCCAAGCGGGGTAATGCAAATTGTCAGACACAGGCCATACTTGATTCAGTTGTTCCACTTGATCCACTTCATCTACTTTGTCATTGGTCAGTTCATTGAATTGACCAATAGAGAAGTGGATGAAGCGGACCAAGCGGTTTTCTGTAGATCAAGTGAGTTAAGTATGCGTGCATGTGCCTGAATAAGCAGTTCTGGGCTGGGCCAATATCTGCCACGACTGCACATTTAATCATATTGGACAGTCAGAATTCTTGCCTAGGAAGCACTAATGTCATAGGGATTTCTCATTTTCGCTAGCCTTTTCGCATTCCTCACTTTTTTATCGGTATTTCGTATTCCTCCCTTTTTTAATGGTACTTTGCCTTCCTAATTATTGTTATGTTTTCTTCCGAATCCTACCAAGTAGTCTGGATACTTGAGAAAATTCCCCGCCTAGCCGACAATGGCCTTCACTGACCCCGCAGTCCACGCTCTCCACTCCCACACGGCCACCGTTCGGGCTATCGATTGCGTTTTAGATACCGCGTTTGCAGTGGGAGGAAGTCCACGCCCTAATAATTTTCTCATATGTTCTTCTAAGTCTTCTTCGCTTATTGAATAAGTCTTTCAGCTTGCACTATGTGCGCATTGACGTCATTCTGTACTTTTTTCTCAGGCAAAGTAGTGCATTTCCACGCGTTTTCCGCGCCGCTTGCTTTAGTCCTCTTTCTCTCTCTCTTTCGCGTCGATGTATGTGTTTTACCGAGATATTTCGGAAAATGCTTTTCGGCAAAACTTTGTAAACAAAAAAAGAGATATAGCGTCCGATATCAACGATGTGAACGGAAGAAGAACGTGTTTGTTTTTTGCTTTCGATGACCTTGCGTCTAGTGTCTCGCCGTGTGCAAATCTCTTGTTCCAGCTAGTTTTTTCTTTCAGAGTTTGTTTTGTTTTTGGTACATCTGACTCAGCTGCGTCTTCAGATTTGGTGCAGCCGCTTTTTTATAATTCAGAAGATGTTTCTGAAGTTTTTGCGAGCCTTCAGATTTTTAATCGATTTTTATCTCCTGTTATGATGCTTCTCAAACCTACTGTAAATAAGCGAAATTGAAAAGCAATGGTTACCCTTCTGAAAATTGAAATGAAGTCAGAAGTGGAGGTATAAGTTTATAACTATAATGATTTAAACTACCACAGAATGCGGACCTCAGTATGTCCAATCCGAACAAATTCGCTGTGCACCACGCTGTATTGTAGAAATACTGCGGAATGACAAAACTTAGGTTTTCTTTTGATTTCTGGTCATTTACACTTGCTTAGCCTGCAATATCTACGGCTGCGCTGTTTGAATCGCATCCAGCACAGAGTTGTTAAGAACGTCTTTGGCTTGTGCATACCTCACGCGATTTTAGTCGCGACGCGATTTGGCAATACTCCAACTGTTCATAATACTCATCGTAAAAGGTTTCTGAATGTACGGAAGACAGGGCATTTTATCAATCTAGATGAATTGTCATGCTGTGCATCTGGGGTCTGTTAGTATTGGAAGGCATATGGCAAATTGCCAGATTGCGTGGCGACTAAAATCGCATGAGGTATGTGAAGCCTTTCACAGACAGAACCTCTGTAAGCTACTTACATGTTCAGCCGGAACTTTTTAGAATGAAAGGGACTATTTCTCGATAAGATGTTTGCGCTTAATTTTGGCGGGTTTTGCCGAATGTATGATAACCGTGGCAACGGTTTTGATTCTGTGTTCCGTTGATGTCTCCTTATCAGCTATCTGCGTCTTTCTTCGCTCACTTCAGAATTATTTCTCGAAAGTTACGGGTTTTTCCGTTTATCTATTGATATATGATAAGTGCAAGCTGGGATCCTGAATGTTTGTAGACAAGAAAAATTGTTTTTGTTGTTATCATCAGAAGTATTGATGCGATTTTTTTGTGAAGTAGGAGACTTGAGAATGTTTCGCATGGGTTTTATTCAAAGGAAGTAAAGCATCGAAAATGAGGTGAAGTGCGTGTTCCAATTCGAAAATTATAGCTAATTTCTTAGTTTCCGACTTTGCAGAAAAAAATTTCTGAGAATGATTTTTTCATAATTGTAGCTCATGATGAACTTTGAAAAATCCATGCTGCACGAATCTGACGGTGCAATTTCACCAATTTCTTCCTAAACGTTTGCTAAACGATTGAAGAATACTGTCCCACAAAATGTCATATCTTTGATGATATTATTCAATAAAATTAACTCAAAATCGTCACCTCTTCCGCTCTATAACTTGTGAGCCTTCGACGCAGACAATGTCTTTGTTGCGACCTGCACTGCAGCGCGGATTTGCTGCAAATTTTCTCCCATCTGCAAGACTACATATTAGCGACCATTTAGAGGAAGCAAATAAAGCGTGCAAGCATAATCTCTGCTAGTTGATCTTTTGCGGTCTTTCCCAAAAATGTCATTGAATTCGTGCGCGAGCATGTATATGGCGCATTGACAATGCTGCTGAACATGCTATTTGCATTTGTTTGAGTGAGGAAAGTGCATTGATGCATAGGCTTAGCTTCTATTGGTCTTTAGAAGACTCTTTCGCTCTTCCTTGGTTCCTAATGTTAAACTCATTATGTTTTTGCATCGCCATTGAGAAACGTGGCGTTTTCTGATTTCTCGATCTTCAAGACACTCATGCCATTTCAAATTTTCTTCCTTTTTTTACGATTTTTGGCATCGTAACACAGCCAAATGCTAACTCTGATAATCGAACTTTTTGCTCCTCGTTGTCCTTTCACTGTTTCACACTCTAATCGTTCATTTAATTTCATTTCGTGGCATCCGCGTGAATGCGTGGAGGGATTAGCGTACATGTTTTGAAACAATACAATAACAAATACAGCGAAATTTTGGCGGGAACAATTTGAAGTGATTTGCCATCTGTACTGTACGGATTGCATTCATAGCTCTTCATGAGTTCATTTGCATATACATTCATCATCTTGAGTGTGTAGTTTTTCATTTAATAATGTATGCTGCATGTTCTTCCTGTCTCCTTTATTCATGTTTTTTTGCACTACAACTACCTTTGTCCTTCTTTGTGCTTTTTTCTCTGCCTTCGTTCGCACGCGGAGAAAGAGCAAAAAAGTAGCCAACGACTAACGCCATTCTATATCGTTGCTTTCGTCATTGCAAACTTCTAACAGCTGTAGAAATGCCTTTTTTCAGACCGAGCAAAGGCGGTGTTCGGTGCTTTGCACTGAGATGGACCGGCTAAGCCCTATATCGACCGATTCCGGGTTTGAATCGTGCTGTTGTCCATCTAGTCCGGCTACCTCATCATCGAACACCACTAAGGTAAGATTTTCTTACAGTTTTTTTTGTTCGTTTTTTTATTGTCTACTACATTTTATAATTCTATTTTTTATGCCTAAGATGTCTTTATCCAACTTGTTTTTTTTTTGAAATTTTACTTTGCAAAATTGCTATATTTCATCAGAGATATAGTAGGAGTTTTCGATCTCAAGGATTTTATGCTTTGCAAAATTGATATATTTCGTCAGAGATTTCTTATTTGATCTCAAGATTATGCTACTTATGAAGCTTTATCTTGACTTTGCTGACGTCTAAATGCATAGCTATTTCAATTGCTTTTTTCAATCTTCACGATTGCTTCCATACTAAACTAGGGATGAAATGGATAATGACAGATTATCTGATTGTGAATTTCTCATTCTACCACCCACCGTGTATGGGGCTCTCAAATCATTCCTCCTTCAGGGTCTCTGGTGTAATCGTTTTTCGTTCATAAAATTTTGTCATTCTTTTGAAGAAGAATTTGCTTCATCAAGTTTTGCAATCAGCAGTGTTCATGTATTTAGAATTGGACTCATTGTCAATTTGAGTTGATCTTGACGCAAAATCTGATATAATTAAATTAGAGAATGTTTTGTTAGTGTTAGTCGAATATCACTGATCAATTTGAAAATTGTCATTGTGGCTCGCTCAAAAATTTCTACACTTCGCCTACCTCATAGCTCTATTTGTAACGCCTACCTCATAGCTCTATTTGTAAAATAGCATATGATAATCGCGGCATGTATCCCCCAGAGACCAATCAGTAGGCCTTCGTTTTTTATGTATACACCCAGGTGGTGCTTTTGTCGCAGAAATCTCGTACACGAGCTCTTTTCTAGCCTTGCACCGTTTATCAATGGTCACTTGTAGGCTAACTTAGTTCCTACACTTGTTATTGCAGGACGAAGTGTAATTTTGAAAGGATTTTTTCCAAAATACAATTCCGATTTTTCTATGAAAAGAAACGATCGAATTATTCATTAATAGTCGTAATTTTATTCCTAAAATTTTATTTTTCATGGTTTCAAAAGTTTCAAATAGCAATAGTTGAAGCTTAAAATACCTTCAACAGCCTTCTTGAATGATTTCCATGATGCTGATGGGGTTAGAAATAAGCGATGATTTTTCTTTGCATTCAGTCGGAGAGCTGTACTTAGAAAGAAAAATTTGACGGGTACAAACTTATGCTGCTTTGTTTTCAGGAAAAACGCTCACTATTTATTCCTAATTTACCATCGCCATCATGTACCACCTTGGGCCTACCAACAGGCGACGCACATACAGTTATCTGTGACTTGACACCATCAAGCAGTGAATCTTCACTTTATCGAGAGGTAGCCGATTTTTTTCGACTATTCGTCTTCCTCCGCATTCTAACGAAGTGATTTCTGCGAATTTTTTGTACTTCATGCAAATGTTTTGTTTTTCTGTCTTTTTGCTAAGACTCTCTGAAATTGTTGTCTCTTTCTAAAAGTTTTTCATTGATTCAGACAGCAGTCATATATTAGTCAGATTCATTCATATCATGATCTTGTAGGACTCGATTTCTTTGGACTCATTGTCGACGAATTCCCCAAATAATGAGTGTCCCAGCTGTTCGACGTCCACCCCATCGTGCAGCGCTAGTTTAGATACGTGTGGTAAGTACCGTGAAATCTTTTCCAACCTCTTTTTTTGATCTTTCAACCTCTAACTTTGCTAGATTTATCCTCATTTTGTTCTATTTAGAAGACGCTAGTGAACCGTCTGTTTCACACTATGTTGATGGAGGTTCGATAAGTTACCACTGCCTTTGGAGTGGTTGCTCGACCATTTATGACAAAGCGGACGATCTTTACGATCACGTAATTGAGGTGAGCGCATCACCTTGTTTCATTTTTAAAAAGTTGTCAGGGGATTTCTTCCAAATAAGGAAGTTTTTCAGCTCCATATAAATCCGCTACATGATCTTACACCTGAGCCATCAAAGCAAAAACAAGAAAAAGAAGATGACGAGTCAATCAAATGCAAATGGGACGACTGCACTATGTACCTGCGGAGAGGAGATAGTGAGAAAAAGGTAGTACCATATTGTAGTCGTTGTTGATGATTTTTTAAAATCTTACTTGTACATTACTTTGGTCTTTGTTCTTTGCTCTTTTTTTGAATCAGTTTGAATCAAAAAGCTTTGTACGAGTAATTTTAATGACCTAAAATATTACAGTTTTCATATTCATCTTTTTTCGGTAACCTCAAATTTTCTTTATCATCTTCTAATGTGGGCTTACATATACTTTCAAACGCACTTCTGTTGCGCTCCTGGTCAGTTGAAAACGAAGTGTACATACCAATTTTCATGAGGAGTAGCTGGATGTTACTAACATTGTTCAAACATTGTTATCTAATTTACCTCGTTATCCTCGTTTATTCAAAAGTGCATCAATTTGATGAAGTACAATATTACAAATTCACGGTTTCGGGAGCTTTTTGTCTGCCAATCACTACTATACTAGCTGGCATAGTCGTTGGAAGACGTTCTTATTGTTTTCTAAAGGGTGGAAATAATTCCATGAAAATCATTTCTTGGATTCTAAGTAAGATCAAGGAACTTTCGCAGTTATAGAGAGTATCTGTGGAAAGTCTTCTTTAGATTATAATCCTGCACATTAGAGTCATTTGATCAGCAGGGGAGTATAATCAAACTAATCAGATCCGGCAATCTCTACCCGTTAGAATCAAAAGCTCCAGAATCTGGTGTTCTGTTTTTCTTTGGAATGAGCTTTGTGACTCTCACCAATTTGATGCAAAATTAATTTCAAAAACGATTTTGTAGATATCTTGGCTCATGGATCATTTTCGCACTCGCCATGCCCGAACTGCCAATCCCTTCCATTGTGTCATCGAAGGATGTCAGATGCGATTTTCTACGACGTATCGGCTAGAGGAACATGTTCGTTTAGAGCACATAAATCCTCCTAAGCCTGGTAAGCTTTGGTCTATTTGGTGCTATTTTCAGAGGGCATTATGCCGCCGAAAGGAGAGGTTCTCGGGACATCTGTAACAAATATGCATCCCCATATATTGTGGTTCGTGCCTGTCCGCGCTGTTGGAACCTATCGGTGACATATCGTCCTCTACTCAGTGCAATAGTAGCTTTAAATGCTTCCTTATTTTCCTTATGATTGATAAACAACGCTTGTAATTTTAATTAATCAAAATTATGTTTTGGGAACATTAGATTACAAGATTACAAGAAAAAATTTTTCAGTCAAAGAAGTTCATCCTGTTGTTCATCGAGAGCACTGCTATGGCTGGCGCCCCCGCTTGTACTATCCAGTTCGTGAGTGATCCCTGTCCTTTTCTGGTTTAATTTCTGACATAATGAAATTAATCCCCCTGTTTTAGGGCCTCGACCTACGCTTTATTGTCCATATCACGATGAAAAGCTTTTGAAATGTGTTCGTTTCATGAACAAACACAATTTCAAAGTTGCTTTCGACCCTATCGATCCGAACGCAGGATTGAAAGGAGCAAAGCGAAGAAAAAGCATACATCGTTACGCGTACAGAATCGTGCCGTCCGACTCCCTACCTCCAAAGCTTGAAAAGCAAATCGTTGTGAGTAATGCTCTTATCGTAATGTACTTACAGGTGACAAAGCAAATAGAATCATAGATCCAATCAAAGTTATCTTGTTTTGAAAATTGTTTGCGTAATGGGGGTGTGAGCAAGTAAGGTCTTTGGTTTCATTATATTCGGTATGCGTAAGTGTAGAGGTGAAAGTAGGAAACCGTTATATCATTTTTGTGTTCAAGGTGCCATTCTAGATTTGTCGGAATTTTTTTTAAATTGGTCAAAAGTATCATACTTTACATTTATTTCCAAAATACGTACTTCAAGTAATTATTATTCAGGGCTAGCGAAACTGTGATTGCTCATTTTTTATTGGAAGAGAACTGTTTACGTTCTCTAATCATTAGTTTTGATAAAAGCGCTGTGTTTATGTACTTTGCTTCTCTTATCTCTTGTCCACCAGACTTTTTGCTTCGTTTGCAGAAGAAAAACGTTGTTTTCGTCATTGAAGGGTTATCGGGGATAAATGAGAGGGGCAAGAAAAGTGCTCTGTTGTAGTTTTTGGCAAAACAACTTAAGTTGCATGTTTCGTGTTCAGGTAAAGTTGGAAGCACCCAAATTCAAAGAGTTAGTGCAGCAGGCTTCCCACTCAAGCCGTAGCCGGATGCGTCTGCAAAATGCCGCTTCTTTAGCAAGAAGTTACGACATAACCATTTTTCGATTCGATCTCGTCCTTGCCAAGAAAATTTTGCCGAAACACGCCGCTACAGCCGATGAAGGTGTCGCAACGGCGTCGCAGTTCAGATGCTCCGGAATCTGCCCGGGCATTGTCTCTTACGGCTGACATAGTATCCACGTGGTGCCGATAATTTGTGCGCATTTGAAGGCAGTGTCCGGGCAAAAAGTCGATTTTGAGATTTTGTGCTTACCCGGACCTACTCGCTATGCTGAATCCCAAAGCCCACACTGGAGAGCGCGAAAACGGCAAAAAAAGGCTCCTTTTGTGCTTACCCGGACCTACTCGCTATGCTGAATCCCAAAGCCCACACTGGAGAGCGCGAAAACGGCAAAAAAAAAGGCTCCTTTTGTGCTTACCCGGACCTACTCGCTATGCTGAATCCCAAAGCCCACACTGGAGAGCGCGAAAACGGCAAAAAAAAAGGCTCCTTTTGTGCTTACCCGGACCTACTCGCTATGCTGAATCCCAAAGCCCACACTGGAGAGCGCGAAAACGGCAAAAAAAGGCTCCAAGCAGGAGGGGAATTAGCAGGGTGCGGGGTCTTTTCCACGACGCATTCAAGCTCCCAGCTTCCGGAGCGATTTTCTCAATTCCACTAGCCGCCCTGACATCACCACTGGCCAAGTGTGAACGCGTGACTTGTAATCGGAACTGGGAAGATGGCCGTAGAAGCTGGGAGCGTGAATCCACAGTGGGGAAGACCCTGCCCACCCGATCATTTCCATCACCCATAGAGCCCTTTCGCCGTTTTTGCGCTCTCCAGAGAGATTTTCGGATTCAGCATAGCGAATAGGCCCGGGTAAGCACAAATTCTCAAAATCGACTTTTTGCCAGGACCTTGTCTTTTAAGCGCAAGAACTGGAAATGTACGCACTATGACTATTTACACCGCAAATTGTCGTCGATAGAGGCGTGACAGTTCCTTCACACTAACATGTTATCAGCACCGCGTGACACTATCTAATCTACTTATCATTAAGCTACTTCTCTAAAACCTACCCTCATAGTCATCATATTTCAGAGCAGTTCATATGACGTAGAAAGCGTGAAAGGACTATCAATATACGATCTCTTCCCTCCAGTAGTGTTGGAGGGCGAGCCAACAGACACCTCGACTGTGAACACAGCTAAGTGATGATTAAGCAGACAACTTCCTCATGGATCTCCCACACCCGCCCTCGCAAGGTGTGTCGAGATCATTCCCACATGCGTATCCACACTCACAAATGTCTCAGAGTCTTGTTGCTATTCTCTTTGTAGATAACAGGTTGATAGGTTCAGGTGTATAACTATGGCATGGAATCTCAATGATTGCTCCGAGTCGCAACAAAAACCAATTCTTTCTATGGTCTCTTTCATTAGCGCGTTCGTCTAATTGTATCTCATGTTCGGGTCATTATCAACTTCGTACATTTCCTTTCGTTATGTTCTCCTGCCTTCTTATGCTCAGGACTGCCAGTCTATCTATCCCTATTATGTGTATGTGTTTGTTTTTCTGTGTATGCTATCGTAATATACTCTTATTCTAGCAGGAATTCCTCCCCTCTCTTTTTTTGTTGTTGATTATGTTTGTTTTATTCTAGTGATAATCATTGTTTGATAATTTGCCTAGTGTTTGTGGGACAATTAGAGCCAATTAGGACTTGTGTCTTTGTGTTTCCTTTTTTGGATTATTATGTAATAAATTGTGCAGTGAAGGTGTAGTACCAAAGGAAAAGTTGAACAGTTTTTGTGGAAGTGAATAATCAAAATTAGCCGTTCTCTCGTCCCGGAACTGAGGTGCAGTTCCCATCATTTTGAGAGTTCTGTTTGCAGCAGATAGTTCATGAAATCTTACATCTTCTAAGAGCATATACTCTGCGAATCTTATATCAGGGGAACATATGATGTACTCGAGTTCTTTGAAAGCAAAAAGCTCGAGCCTTTTCGTTGGGGACGACATTTTCCACTTGGCAGCTAACTCATTTTCGTTCCTGGCGAACTTCTGCTTTCTTGAACGGAGCATACGGTCCAAATATGTTGGACTACATAGCAGATCAATATTTATTTATGCAGCATAACATGAGCTACTGCCTAACTACTATCAAGCTTTACCTACTTCCATTCCAACCTCAGGATACAAATATTTTCCATGGCTCAAATCTACCTCAGGAAGAACATTTTTAAGCTCACTACTTTCGTTCCCTTCCATGCTTACTGGCGGGTTACCATCATTTTCTAGACAAAACACTAACAGCAGCCAGGGTACCGACCTTATAAAGAAGACTAACGGAAGAAGCCTCGGCATGACATTGCAACGGTCTTTATACCAGCCGGCAGCAAAGAACGCTCGTCTGCGCTTAGCGCGCAGCCTGTCATCGTAGACCGAGTCCATGACACTTAGGTTGAGTAGAAAGTTCGAAATTTCTCCTAAAATTCAAAACGGTAAGGGAAACTACCTATCCGAAAGACTTACCGCATTGTAGTTATAGGTCAGTGAGCTGCCAGTTATGCATTCAACACCCACCTAATCCTGAAACCCAAAACGGGGAAGGGAATTAAATACCCGAAAGACTTACCGCAATTTAGTTATAGGTCAGTGAGCTGCCAGTTATGCATTCAACACATCCATTAGATGCGACTTGAACGCTGACTCTATCCACCTTCCTTATTTGCTGAACACTTTTGTGGACGAAGCTATAAGATATCAAAGGTCATTATTATTTTGCTAAGAAATCGTGCTGCAAAGAGTAAATTTGACCTTATAGAGCCATGGTCGGCTTAGTGCTGGGTCAAAACATGCAGCTAGGTTACTTATATGAACCCAACCTAAAGGTGAGCTGGAAGGACAATGATGAGTTCAATTTCGCAACTATTATGTGCGATTTTTTCGCAGTATATCTATAACCTCGCGTGCAAAAGCTTTCAGCAGTTTCAGCGTTTTATGCTCTGTCGAAGGGTATGCAGCTTGTTTGAAACAGCCACTTCGACTTCTGACTATTCCCTTGTAACATGTAGAACAGCATGAAAAAAGAACTCTAAATAATTCCAAATCTGTATTGAAATCATTCTTATGAATTTTTGAACTCAATTTTTTGGAGTATGTGGCAAAACCACTGATGTATTTGGGAGGAGTGATGGAAAACCCCTAAACTCCAATTTTCACCTCAATCGGATAAATATCGCCACACTTTGAGTTGAACTCATAGCGAAATCGCGTCTTCATGTTTTCTGGAACAGGGTGGAGCTTACTGTGTGCATCGATCAGCTCTGCGTACAATGCTAATTAGGTGCTAACAGCGTAACTGACTGCTCATGTACCCTATAGCTGTGTTGCGGCAAATTTTTCGGAAAGGTAAGTTTCGTTCCTCTTCAAATCTGGTAGAGGTCTATGCAAATACAACGAAGTTCAATGGTGTCTTCGTTTGAATGCCGAAGGATTGCAAATGTGCGCAGTGCTATCGCAGAAAATAGAGAATTTAGCGGTACTTTTCGGTAACGGACCCATTTTTCAAAAATTACTTCTTTCTTTGCATCAAATTTGGTAAAAACTCCACAGGATGGAGAGCTAACCTCTTGCCACTTGTCAAAAAAACAATTTACATGTCATTTACATGTTTAACAGGTTTTACCGAGAGTTTGGTTAGTCACCTATCAATGTAAGTTCTTTGTTTCTTAATCAATAATTACCCGTTTTTAGTCAGAAGTTTCGTAAATGAGCTTCAACATTATGAGAATAAATATTTAATACATTTGGTTAACCCGAAATAGAGAAGTGGGCTATCGTTCTATCATATAAACGAAGAAGCAATCGGCAGGCGAGTACTTCAACCATCATTTATTTTCTTTCCGGCTAAATTCGCACAGCGCAAACAATGTAAAAAGAAGGATCTCTTTAAATCATTGCTGAATGCTACCAAGATGTTTTAGTAAACGTTTGAAATTGTTATGTCTTGATAAAAGACTCTGAACAGTTTTCGAATCCTTTTAAATGCTCCCGTACCTCACCGGAAATGATTTTGGAAAAAACTCGTCAAACTGGTCCCAAACATGTTAATTTTTATCTTGATACGTGGCAAGGAATTAGTCCTCTCGAGATCTGTGTAAAAATTTTATGCTGAAGCACTTATCTCACGAAAAGATTTTGGAAATTGGGCCCAAATCAGAAAAGTAACAACTCAATATGGATGGTTGTTGAGGGTTGGACAACAGTGTATCAGAATGTTCTTGCTGCTGGGAGCAGCAGAACATTCTGATATACTGTTTTTCAGCGCACCACCCCCTGGCAATTCAAAAAATTGGTCGTTGGAAGTATGTTCAGAACAGCTGTGAAAGTCTCTGACGCGCAACAAAAGGCTCTTACTCCATGGCGATAGCTGACAGAGTAGCTCGATGCGGTTATAAGCAGGGTAGAGCAAGAGGTATGGTACAACGGCCGAATACGACCCCCCCTCCCCTGAGTTGCCTCGAAAACGACCCCTCTCCAATACCAGGGTTGGATTTTCGAAAGATTCAGGCTGCTAAGCAAAAAGCCTTTATGGGTTGTTTCAGACTCGCACTGACTGCAGCAGACTGCAGACTGCAGCTGACCGCACTGACCGCGGGGCCGCACAGATCGCTACATCCTTTCGTGAATGTGGAGAGGACAAATAGTTGTAGCAAACAGTTTCTTAACAATATATGCCCCAACAGGCAACACGAGCGGGAGTAAAATAGGTATATGCGACAAAAGGAATCTGAACAAATATGAGCATATTAAAGAAAAACACTCGCCAAAATTTGACTAGAAGAGTAAGCTAGAACCTATGAACTTTCTAGGCGTAAATCACGGTGTTTTGATGTATTCGCAACTATTTTCTGCTTTACGAAAGGATGCAGCGAGCTGTGGGGCCGTAGCGGTCAGTGCAGTCAGCTGCAGTCTGCTGCAGTCAGCGCGGCAGTATGAAACAACCCTATAGAACCGTCTTCGAGAAATATAACTGAAATTTCGTGAGTCTAAAAAAAGTTGAAGAACTCGCTTTTTCCATATAACAAGTGAATACAAGATCCAGACTATACGCACTTACATTAAAGTTATGCATCAGGTAACGTATGGGCTCTTTACATTACAGGCCACTCCAAGATGCATAAAACTAGTAGAACAGAGTTGCAATCTTGCGAAAGTATACTAGTTTTCGGCTCACAAAAGAGCTAGGAAAAGAAAAAGCCTTTGGATAAAACAAATCGAAACCGTTTTTGAAAGAGATGGCGGAAATTGTTGCATCAGTGCATTTCGAAACTATATCGCATCGAGAAATAACACATAAAAAGCACACTGTATAGCTTGCCCAAAGCACAGCTAGTTTTGTGCGAAGAAAAACTTACTCTTTCGAATGTCAGATTGCATGAAACAAAAAAAGATCCCTCTATTTATGGAAAACCAAGCTCTAAGCGCCATTCCATTTTTGGGAGGAATCAAGAACCAGACTGTAGATTTGTCGTCCCATTATCTTTAAAAGGTTTCGGTGTCTGAAAGAAAGGCCTCAACAAGGAAACCGACGAAAAGAAGTACAAATTCTAGAACTGTCGCAAAACAATGGAAGGATCCGAATTATTTAGCTTGCCGCCTTTCTGCATCGTTTACGCATTAACGCAGAAAGACGGCAAGATGAATTTGAGTGCTACCGTAATCCGATATTTTGGAAGCCGCACGATGGATGGTAGTTAGTAGAAAAAGCGCTATATCTCATTCTGCGCGGGAAAGTTTTGGATGAAAATCGTACTATAGAGAGAAGAAGGTTGAGCGGTAGCAACGACATTAAAATCGTAGACATTCAACGGCTTTAAGGGTAAGTTTTTGGGACCCCCCCCCCTTAAAAGCTGCGGCAGCCTTTTTTTGATATAGTTAATGGGGGGCGCACCCCTTTAACTATATCAAAAAAACAATTTTAGCGGGCAGTATTTATATGAATCGAGAGCCTAAACCTTGTAGAATCCATAGGACTGGTTTGAAGCCTGATTCGTCTTCTTAGCTCTGAGTAATATTTAGTGAAAGCACAGCGATCAAAAGCGAAAAATGGGAAAAACGAGATTTTGGTTGGCTTCTATTTCCACAGTTTGGAGGTCTTCTGAAGCGGGATTCCTGAGATGGACAGAAAAGGAGTAGTGCTTTGCCTTAAGTGCAATAACGAATAGCTAATTCACCTTTGAAACAAAGTTAACCATGTTGGAATTTGACCATTTCACTTAGGTAGCTTAGTATCTTGAATCTTCAGAATTCGCTCACACTTTGTCTACAGGGGTTATTTGACATGCTAATTATGGATAGGATACGAATATCATGTTACCACTATTATCAGATTACCCAACTACGACCCCATCCCGTTTTGACTCCTCAATACAACCCCGAGGTGTGACGTGCCGCACCCCACGCTTGACCCTGGTTATAAGACCT